GAGGCCATAAATGCCCAAATGGTCACTTTGGCTGAAGTGGGATCCCCAGTGTCTCTGTTATTGGGGCAGGAAGAATAAATTGTTATTATCCTGATTATGGGAATCAAGGACAGTGGAACTGCACTTGGCCTTTTGTTATGATGGAGGGACTCACCATCAACTAAGTAGCACTCGCTAGGTAAGGAACATGGGTTCCAAAACTCTGTGACTTGAGAGAGGTTGGGGCTAGGTATTAATACTTGGAGGTATGGGTGCCCTCCCTCCCCCCCGTGGGCCTTACATGCTAATTGCACTTCCTCCTGTCTCCACTGTGGAATATCAGAGCTATTTTTGATCCTATTAGGAGTCTAGTTACAGGCTGTCTGAACTGAATTCACTTTGGGCTAATGGTGCACCAGCACTGAGGCTCCCCTACTACAAGCTGAAATCACAAAAGAGCTAAACTTACTAAAAGCTGAAATCACTGAGTGTTGTGTTAAGTAGGGGGGGAGCCTGAAGATATATGGTGGAGCAGTTTGTGGGATGGCAAGCAGAGCGGCTGGTGGAGCAGAGCAGTTTGCAGGATGCCTAGAGCAGCCCATGGGGTGGCTGGCAGAGCGGAGCCCCATGGAGAGGTGGGGCCCCTTAACACCTTGCCCCCAATCTCCACCCAGGTTGGGGGGTAAAACTCTGCAGATAAACTTTTGAACTATGGGACTGCCCTGACCAGGGACAGAGACTTTGGGTTGTTGGACTTTTGGGGCTTTGGGTGATTTGGGGTTGCTGGACTCACGAACTAAAGGGAAAGGACAGGACCCAATTTGCTTGGGGTGGGTTTTTGCTCATGGGTTGTGTTATGAATCCTGTTGGTGGTGTTTCCCCAACATAATGCCACATTGTTTCTCTCTGTTGTTGAAAGGCTTTTTGTTACACTCAGACTATGTGCTTGTAAGAGGGGAAGTATTGCCTCTTGGAGGCGCCCAGCGGGGGTGGTATATATTTGTCCCAGGTCGCTGGGTGGCGGCTCAAGCCGGTTTTGCGTTGTGTTATTGGAATGGATCCCCTAGATACTGAACCTGGCCCTTGTTGCTGCCAACTCTGACAGGCAGAAGGGTTACACCTGTTCCAAGTCCTTTTCTTTTGGAGCTTTTCTTCGGTGTTCAGTTGTCAGGGAGTGAAGAACAAGTCTCTAAGGTGCCACAAGTCCTCCTTTTCTTTTTGCGAATACAGACTAACACGGCTGTTACTCTGAAACCGAACAACAGATGATGTCACTCCCTTATTTAGCATTAGCATATGGCAGTAACCCCTTGTTCCAAACCAGTTCCCAGCCCAGCTTGTGGAAAAATACAGGCAGCCAAAATGGAGTCCAGAGACATGTGGTCTGGTCACATGCCCTTGCAGAGTCAGAGTAGCATTCTCAGGAAGGCTCGGGGGTGGGGGGAAAGATAAGCTTTTCCTAAAGCCTATTGTTTTCCCTAATGGCCCATTACCTGGGGATTACAGTGGAGAAGATGGATATGAGTCAACAGTGTGCCCTTGTTGCCAAGAAGGCTAACGGCCTATTGGGCTGCATTAGTAGGAGCGCTGCCAGCAAACCAAGGGAAGTGATTATTCCCCTCTATTCGGCACTGCGTCCAGAAAGGTGTTAATTATGCTAGCTGAGCTGAGAACCCAAGAGCTGGGAAATGCCAGCCCCTGCCGCATGTTCCCATTTATTTGTACATTAACCTATTGATCCTGGCTCTGATTCCCCAGACGCTCCAGTTGCTCTGCACTGCTCTGAAGGGGGAGATACTGGGGGGTGATCGAGGTGGAAAGGGGTGGAGCTGGGAGGGCACTGACAGGAGGGTCGGGGGCAGGGAGGGGGTGGTGCAGGGGTGGGGATGCAGGGTGGGAATTGAGTACCAGTGCAGCACCGCTGCAAGGCAGGGCTCAGCGCTGCCCTAAGCTACTGGGGCTCAGTGGGTCACGAAGGGAGGCAGCACCTCCCCACAAGGCTCCCGTAGCACTGGGCTTGATCCCACCCTGGGGCCCTGTCTGCGAGAGGCCCCTGGAGAGCAGCGAGAGCCACATATGCACTTGGCCGCTGGGATGAGAGGGAGGCCTGGCTGGTGCAGTCAGTGTGAGACAGGAGCTAAGCGGTACAGAGCCTGTGGGCGCGGGGGCAGCGTGGTGTCTGGCCAGGCTGCAGGGTCCCTGCCTCTGCCCGGTAGCGGCTGCACCGGGACTCGGTGTCTCTCTCAATTTCAAGCCCCTCATCCTGGACCTGGCGGATCTGATGGGGATTGTGGAGGAGGGGAGCAGCTGGGACCTAGTTGCATGGGCGTGCTGCTGTGGCCAGCGATGCTGCCGGAAGCCCGCTGGATCTGCACTCCAGCCCTGGCCTGCACTGGTGAGAGCGGGACTCCCTGTCCATGTGGGAGGGGCTCCGGCAGAACCGGGACCAGCCCCCAGCTCCATGCACAAGGGCACCAAGATGGGCCAGGCCTCGGAGAGCCCCCTCCCCTCACAGCAAGTCTTCTCTCTCTCACCCCCAGACGCAAATTGCAGTCGGTGCAGGCAGGGTAACCTCAGGGGAGTCATCCCTGCAACCCCTGTGCAGCCCCCGCCTGTCCTCTGGGCAGGGCTTGGCCCTTCGCTCTCCCTGTGCTATCCTGGCATGGGGGAGTCCCTGCTCCACCTTCTCCCAGCACAGTTTCCCGAGCCCTCTGCCCTGCATGTCCTGTATCCCCCCACCCCCGAGCTGGGCTCCCTGGAGTGACCCATCCTGGCAGGGTGGGATTGAGGGCTGGCCCCAGCGCCCTTGCAGTGCCATCAGGACACTGCAGATACCTCCCAAGGTTAAGGGTGCTTCTCTTTACAGACAGTCCCACTTGTCGGGTGAAACAAACACAGTGCCTGTGACACAGGCCCATGCTTGTGGTGGCCCGAGGGCCTGGCTGATCCTAGAGCCCCGGGGCTAAGATGGAACAATTGCCTCCACTGGGTAGGCGCGATCCCCAACTGCTGTGTTTCCCTTTTTCAGCCACAGTAGACAGTAGATTGCGGGGTTCAAGGACACCCAGCAGCCTGGGGAGATCGACCAAGAATACCCCATTAATGTGAAGCAGATGATCATAAGATCATAAGAGCGGCCAGACTGGGTCAGATCAAAGGTCCATCCAGTCCAGTATCCTGTCTTCTGACAGTGGCCAGTGCCAGGTGCCCAGAACAGGGAATCATCAAGTGATCTGTCACCCATTCCCAGCTTCTGGCAAACAGTGGCTAGGAACACCATCCCTGCCCATCCTGGCTAAAGCCATGGATGGACCTATCCTCCATGAATTTATCTAGTTCTTTTTAAAACCCTTTTGTAGTCTTGGCCTTCACAACATCCTCTGGCAAGGAGTTCCACAGGTTGTCTGTGCACTGTGTGAAAAAATACTTTCTTTTGTTTAGTTTCAGAGTAACAGCCGTGTTAGTCTGTATTCGCAAAAAGAAAAGGAGTACTTGTGGCACCTTAGAGACTAACCAATTTATTTGAGCATGAGCTTTCGTGAGCTACAGCTCACGAAAGCTCATGCTCAAATAAATTGGTTAGTCTCTAAGGTGCCACAAGTACTCCTTTTCTTTCTTTTGTTTGTTTTAAACCTGCTGTCTATTAGTTTCATTCAGTGACCCCTAGTTCTTATGTTATGAGAAGGAGTAAATAACACTTCCTTATTTACTTTCTCCACACCAGTCATGATTTTATAGACCTATAGCATATCCCCCCTTAGTCGTCTCTTTTCCAAGCTGAAAAGTTCCAGTCTTATTAATCTCTCCTCATAAAGCAGCCATTCCATACCCCTAATGATTTTTGTTGCCCTTTTCTGAACCTTTTCCAATTCCAGTATATTGTGTTTGAGATGGGGCAACCAGATCTGCGTGCAGTATTCAAGATGTGGGCGTACCATGGATTTATATAGAGGCAATATGATATTTTCTGTCTTATTATCTATCCCTTTCTTAATGATTCCCAACATTCTGTTCCCTTTTTAGACTGCCGCTGCACAGGATGTGGGCGAGCAGCGATGCACATACTTGATAGGGTGACCATATTTCCCAAAGGCTGGGGCTGGCGTTGCTGCTTGCCCGAGCCTTGCCTGCCCCCCCTGCGTGCGGCTGGCATTGCTGCTTGCCCCCCTCCCTCCCTGCACGTTTTCCCGTGTGACAAAGTGGGACTGTTCTTAATGTTTTCTCTGAATATTGTGGGGGTGCCTCAGTTTCCCCTATGCAGTTCTTAAGTATCTAGGTGGTGAGATAAGGGTGTATGATCATTGCAGAGCCCTAGAGGGCAGGTGTGTGCAGGGGTCTGGACACTGTTTCCTGGCAACTGATGGCCTGGGCCCTTCCCCCTGCAAGGTGAGAGCTAAAGGCAGAGGTGAAAGTAAGCCGGTACCGGTAAGAGCCAGTGCGGCATTACCGGGACTGGCTTTCCCAGAGGGCAATTTAAAGCCCTGGGGTAGGGGTGGTGGGGCTGCGGCGGGGATTTAAAGAGCCCCAGAGCTCCAGCCGCTGCTACCCCCCCCCCCCCGGGTCCTTTAAATCCCCACCTGAGCCCTGCTGCTGAAGCCCTGGGGTAGCGGCGGCAGGTCTCCGGAGTGGATTTAAAGGGCCGGGGCGGTAGCGGGGGCTGGAGCCCCGGAGCCCTTTAAATCCCCGATGGAGCACGGCCGCCGCTACCCCAGGGCTCAGGCAGCAGGGCCCAGGTGGGGATTTAAAGGGCTCGGGATTCCAGCAGCCGCTACCACAGCGGAGCCCCAGGCCCTTTAAAGCTCTGCCAGAGCCCAGAGCCCCAGGGTAGCGGTGGCAGCTGGGAGCCCCCAGGGCTCCTCAGTGATTTAAAGGGTCCAGGGCTCCGCTGCGGCAGCTGGAGCCCTGGGCCCTTTAAATTGCCCCCGAGCCCCAGGGCTCCCAGCCACCTCTGCAGCTGGCAGCTCGGGGGTGATTTAAAGGGCCCCAGGCTCCCAGCTGCCACTACTGCAGCTGGAGCCCTGGCCCTTTAAATCAAGATTTAAAGGGCCCGGGGATTTAAGGCCACGCCTCTTCCGGTTACAGCCACATCCTCTGCTCAGGACTCCAGGGTAGTGGTAAGTCCTCTAACTTACTTTCACCCCTGGCTAAAGGGTTGGAGAACAAAGGAATCAGGTGCCCTCCTGTCCCAGGAAAGGGACAAAGCCCAGAGGAGGTGGGGCTGGAGGGTCAGTCAGTTTGGGGGCTGGCTGGGAATGTGGAGTGAAGTACAGATGGGGTTGTCTGGCTCACTGCCCCCCAAAATGGACCCGGCTGAGGGGTCCTGTTCTCTGTACCTAAAAGCTCTGGTTTAGACCATGTTCCTGTTGTCTAATAAACCCCCTGTTTTACTGGCTGGCTAAGAGTCATGTCTGACTGCGAAGTTGGGGGGCAGGACCCTCTGGCTTCCCCAGGACCCTGCCTGGGCGGACTTGCTGTGGGAAGCGCACAGAGGGGCAGAGGATGCTGAATGCTCTGGGGTCAGACCCAGGAAGGTGGAAGCTGTGTGAGCTGTGTGTCATGCAGACAGTCTGCTCGCAGAAAGGAGACTTCCCCAGAGTCCTGCCTGGCTTTGTAGGGAGCAGTTCCAGAGCATCGCCTGGGGACTCTGTGACACTCTGTACCCCACTTTTTGACAAAGGTGGGCATTTTTGTCCCATTTGCTCTTGTCGACTGATCAAGTCGGCCAAAAAAGTCAGGAGGGCCAGGACAGGGCTTAAAAAAGGGACTGTCCTGGCCAAAACGGGACCTATGATCACTCTCCTCCTTATGCACCAGCAACAGGCTGATTTGCTAAATTCCGGTTCCAGGGCCAGTCAGTGACTCCTGCGCAAGCCCTGGGAGGGGAATGCAGGAGGAGGAGAGGACAGAGTTTGGCCTGCGGACGCTGGATTACTGGTGATGATGCAGGAGGTGGAAAAACAGGGAAGGACTGTCAGAATCCAGCTGGCCTGGAACCATCTGCAACTTGCGAAGTGAAAACATGTGATCTGAAATCACTGAGACACCATAACAGTGGATCTGCACATTTACCCTGCCAGGGCTATGCATGCCGAGCAGCAGACAGGACAGCTGAGCCCAGCACAAGAGCAGTTCTGGGAAGGCAGCCAGAGATTCCAGTTTACAGCTAGGAAGCGGGGCATAGGGCAGTGGGCTCCAAAGCATTCCTGGGCATGCAGCAGCCTGGGAGAAAAGAAACTGATCAGAGAGCTGAGGAAGTGAAAGGAGGCGTGGCCTCTATGCAGCAACCAACCCTCTGCACCTGCTGTTCCCCTCCCTGCCCAGGGCCTGTTGCAGTCCAGAAGGAGCAAGAGACGGTCCCTCTCTGCCAGGGGCACACACAGGCTAGTCCCGTCCTCGGTAGCCCCTGTTGTTCGCCTCCTCATGGGGCTCAACCAGAGCATGGGGCTCTACCAGATGCCAGCTGAGGAACTCGATATATTCATCACCAACAACCTGCAGCCCAACCAAGTTTTCAAGATGCAGATCAGCACAGCCATTAACACAATCTTCCTATTTCTGACCCAAAACTGCTTCAGAAACTCTGGCTCTGCCATGCGGGTGCTGAAGGTGGTTAAGGTGAGTGATGGAGATGGGGTGCACAGACCCTGCCTCTCCAGGTATTGGGGGGACTGGGAAGGGGAGGGGGAACAGTCCAGGAGGTGAATGTTCTCAATGGTGATCAGCATACAGCTAGGGTGATGCTGGTGTAAATCAGGGCGCAGGGTCGGGGACCCCTCTGCCTGTGTCTGAGGAAGGGGTGAGCGAGCGGGGAGGTAGGGCTAGTTCCCAGGTGCAGGACCCCAGTGTGGGGAAATGGGGGACAGACAGTCACTGTCAGTATTTGTGCAGGGCTGTGTCTGGGGAGAGCCAGAGGGCAGGCAAAATATCTGCCGAATGGCCCTTCCCTTAGCGAGAACCCCCAACCGATGGCCCCCTGGGACATGGGGCTCGGGGTCTGGCATTTGGGGCTGCAGTGCATCGGGCAGGGGATGATGCCAGAGTCAAGGGTGGAGAATGACCCTGGCGAAAACTGGAAAACCCGAATTTGCACTAAAATCACTGTTTGGTCACTCTGGCTATGGGGTAAGGCAGTGGCCTCCCAGCCTGGGGGAGGGGAGCAGAGTCACTTTTAGGGTGATTGTTAGTCTCACCTGGGCTCTTGCCCCCACTCCAGCCCCTCCCCCCCAGCTGTTTCTTTTGATCCCACATACCCCAGCTGGGCCCCTTGCCATCAGTCTGGCCAGCCCCCAACCAGGGTGGGAGGCCCCAGGGCCCAGCAATACATCACATCCAGAGAATCTCTCTGTCAAATTCTTTTTGAAAACTTGCAGAGCTGCGTGCACTGAAGAAGTTGGAAACACGCAGCTCAGGCCACGTGAGCAATGCAGCATGCGACCCGCTAGTGTAAGGGCAGTTAACAACACTAGTGACCCATTATAAAGCTGGGGGCAGGGTGGGTGTGTTTAGATCACCCCTGAGCCCCCTCCCAGCTGGGCACACTGCTGCGCCTGCCACCCCTCTGCGGTGCTTGCACATGGTCTCCTCCATGCTTTTAACAAGTGAGGTCGGATTAACCTTCGGCCGAACCCCAGTGAGGGTTGGCCCCTTCCAGAGACATATAGGGGTCCAAACAAAAATAACTCATTTTTGCCAGCCCTCTTCCAGGCTAAAATGGTTCTTCCCCCACTGGGGACCCCTCCCCGGAAGCCCTGGCCTGGGCCCTTAAATAACGACTGGTACCAACACTGGGCCTCCAGCCCCACCAATGCTAGATCACCCAGGCCTCGTCCTTTACCAGATTTTCCCTCCCAGACCACTTTACCTCCCATTGGGGAGCAGTTACTCATGTGAGTCGCCGTCTGAAGTCAAATGAAGAATTGACTAAGGGCCTGAATCTATGGGAGGAACGTGGCTGAGGTCCATGGTGTAAAACCCCTGTGACTGAGACCAGAATCAGCCCTAACTCTTGAGGAAGCCCCTTTTCCCTGCTCCGCCAATGCTCAGTCCCAAGGCTAGGACTCAGTTTGCCATAGCCACCGGCCAAAACCACATCAGCTAGGCCCTGATCCCATTCATGAGTGAGCGGTGGGATGTCCCACAGGGGGTGTCTCCAGGGTGGCCCTGGGAGCAGCTCCTTCAGGTGGGTGGGCCACAGCTGAGCTCTCTGTGGAAGGACTCAGTGGGACCTCTCTCTCTCTGTCTCTTGCTTTCTCCTCCAGGCCGGCTCGTCAGGGAAGGGCACAGCCCTGAAAGACGTCTCCGATGTGGACCTCGTTGTGTTTGTCAGCAAGATTACAGATTTCTGGGCCCTGAAAGCAGAACGGAAAAAAATCATTGCTGAAATCCAGACAAGGCTGGAGGAATGCAGAGGGTCCCTGGGAAAAGACCTAGTGCTGAGCATTAAGAAAACAAAGTGGGAGAACCCCCGTGTGCTCACTTTTACCCTAACATCTAATACCATGGGGGAGCATATTGATTTTGATGTGCTGCCAGCTTTCGACGCCCTAGGTAAGATGCACTGTTTTGGACTCCCAGGGCAGGGGCCGTGTTTCTCAATGACTGTCTAGTCTCTCTCGATTCCCACGGCACATTGCCAGAGCTCTTGCTACTTTCGAGATAGCGATGGCTCCATGTTCTCTGGGGTGTGCTGGGTTGTAAGCACGTGATACCAGGAGATTTTAAGGGGAATCTCATGGCCAAACTTCCCCACTATGATTTGCAAACGTATCTCACGTGTCTAGCTTTGCAGGTGTAAATTCACATGGATGTTTAAGTGCATGGATATGCCTCACCCACTGGTCAGTGTGGTTACGGCTTCCCCTCTGTATCCACTCCACAGAGCAGAGGAGTCGCTTGCTGTACGTTTTAGCTTTAGCTCACACTGTACCGTGCTTGTAGGTCTGCAGGACCCCAGTTCAATCCCAGGTCAAGAAGGCGGCCATCACACATGCATACCCTATGCACACCTGATCTCCTCCTTGTGCACTAGCCCTCATCAAAAGAAAGCACCATCCAGGGAGTGTGTTTCCTGTACCTCCCCTAAACTGCTTCTCTTCCTCTCGCTTGTCCTGCCCACCTGTGATTCAGAATAGAGGCACCAGCTAATAGCAAGGGGGGGGGGGGATTTTTAGTCACTGTTTAAATTTAACCATTCAGGAGCAAGCAAGCAGCATTTGGCCTTAGGGAAGAGCCTTATCTGAATGACTCCCAGGACTTTCAGAGAGAGTGGAGCCACATGCAGCAGGCTACTCAAAGCTTCAAGCACTCGCTCAGCTCAGTGGGAACTAGGGGCCAAGTGTGAGGGGCAATGCATGGCCGGGGGAGGACCAGGATTACAATCTAGACCCAGCTAATGGCTAGCACTCCCAGCCCAACTCTCCTCGGTCCCGCTGCCACATCCGGCTGCTTTCTGGTGACAGTGCCCTCCAGTCCACCTGCCCATCTCGCCCCCCACCCCACGAGAGCTGCTCATCACCTCAGAACTACTCTGATCTGCCAACAGGCCTGAGGGGCCTCCAGAAACAATCATCACAAGCTGCATGAATTCTCTGGGCCCGCCGCAGCGGTGCCAGCCAAGGGTGACATGCTGGGCCATGCCCCAGCCAGGCTGAGCAGGCAGGCCAAGGACGCACCTGGCAGGGGCCCGCAGTGAGGATCTGCCTCTGCCAGGATGGAGTCTGGCCCCTTCACTTTCCCTTTCCTTTCAAAAATCTTGAAAAAAACAATCTGAGGTGGGAGTGAGCAGAATGAAGTGTATCCTTCTGCGACGCAAAGTAGTTCCTATGGGAAGGGGAAAAGAAACTCGCAGGGAAAGGTCAGGAGCCAATGAGCACTGGGTCTGTGATTGCAACGCCAGGCCCCACTCGGAGTAGTGGGCACAGGGAGCGGGGTGGGGAGTGGCCATGCCACCCACAGCACTTGGGTACACACAGTGTTTAGCTACCCATGGCCTACACGCCTGTGTTCGTTCTCTGCTAGGCCAGCTGTACAGAGGCTATAAACCCGACCCCGAGGTGTACATCAGGCTGACAGAGAGCAATCCCGAAGGGAGCGAGTTCTCCCCCTGCTTCACCGAGCTGCAGAGGAATTTCGTCATGGCTCTCCCCACCAAACTGAAGAGTCTGATCCGCCTGGTGAAACACTGGTACAAACAGGTACAGCAGCCGCACTGGCTCCCCACAGCCCCCCTGCAGCTCTTGGGGGACAGAGTTATGCTGGGAATATGCAGCTGGAGGCCCGGCAGACACCAAGGTACCCCAGAGAGGGCCCTGTTGTCGGGAGCTCCCCCTGCTCCAGCTCTGTCTCCTCCCCCCTGTCTCCCAGACCTTCCCACCTTTTCTGAGTGGATTTCGGGGTATGAATTAGGCGTGAATGAGGGTTTGTTGCCTGTCGGTCTAACCTCTGTTCCTTTTGTCCACCCCAGTATGTCCTTCCCCACAAAAAGAAGCTGGGGTGGGAAGAGTCCCTGCCCCCCCAGTACGCGCTGGAGCTCCTGTCTGTCTATGCCTGGGAAAGAGGGGGCAGGGGTCCAGCCTTCAACATGGCCGAGGGCTTCCGGACGGTGCTGGAGCTGATCCGGCAGCATGCCCAACTCTGTGTCTATTGGACCATCAACTACGGCTTTGAGAATGAAACCCTGGGATGGTATCTGAAGTATCAGCTCTATAAATCCAGGTGCCTGCAAACACCACCGCACCCTTGTGTGTGCATCCCGGCTCCCTGTCCCCGTGGCAATGGGGACCTGCCTGTGATCCCCCCCCAAGCACAGCTGGGGGCAGGGAGCTACCTTTGTGTGTGAAACTCACCGCTGATGACCCAGACACAGCACCCTGGGGGCAAGAAGAAGGCGAGAAGCCCCAGCATGAAGTGGGGCAGGGCTTTAATGCTCTGAATGGCCAAGATACCCTAGGCAGTGGCAATAATTATTAACACACAATGTGTGGGAGACGCTGGGGAAGTGGAACTGGTGAAGGAGGGAATTGGACGGACTCAGTCTTCATTCTGCCAAGGTGGGTGGGGTCCGAGAGACACTCGGGGTCTGAGAGAACGGAGAGAGCCAGGCCTTAGAGCTCAGGGCTAGACAAGGGCTGGCAGAGAGCAGCTAAAGCAAATGAAGAAGGTCTGTGACATCTGGCCAGGTGGCAGCAGCCATTAACTAGCCGCACCGTGTCCTAGGAAGACCAGACGGGAGCTTAGCAGGTCAGAGCCGGAGGGGTCAGGCAGCAGGGTTATGCCCAGCTGGACTGCAGCACCCCGTCTCTGCCCGGCTGGAGTCTGCACCGTGACTCTTTGTGTCTCCCTGAATTTCAGGCCCATCATCCTGGACCCGGCAGATCCAACGGGGATCGTGGGGCACGGGAGCCGCTGGGACCTGGTTGCACAGGAGGCTGAGCGCTGCTGTGCCCAGCAATGCTGCTGGAAGCGCAATGGATCCCCAGTTCAGCCCTGGAATGTGCCGGTGAGGGCAGGATTTCCTGCAGTGGCTCATATTGTGTCTAACGGTAAAACAGCCCAGCCCATTGGGCATCCCCTCCCGTGCACTGGAGGGGGTAGGGTAGCCCAGCGCCCTGCTCCATCTCCCTACCGCAGCACGGCTGGCCCCGGCCAGGAGGAATGCCCCCTCCCTTCAAGAGAGAGACAGCAATTGCATTTGATGCCTCTGTGGCCCCCAATGGTCTCTCCTCACTGCGCCAGCAGTCGCTGACCTGCCCGTCTGTCCGACTCTGGGGCTGTCGGTGTCATGGGGACTTCGCTCTGCCCTACTGAGTCACACAAAGCAGTGTGCATAGAAACTGCACTGGGCTCCTTCCCTTGACTCCTCCCAGACAAGCCCCGTTGGCTGGGGGAGGCCAGGGGCCCCTCACTTCAGACTCTCCTGGGTCTTCCCAGCAATTCAGCTGCACCATGCACTATGGTTGCCGGGGTTCCCTTGTGCCCCCATCTCCCTCCTTTCCCAGCTCACACAGTAGTGAATGCTTGATATGACCTAGACTGGTAGGGCTGGGGGCTCGGGCTTGGGTGGAGCAGCCTTGTGGTGTGGTCAGGAGGGGACACCTGAAATGTCAAGATTAATTATTCCTTGACAAAACAATCGTGCAAATCCTTAATTGTGCCCGTATTACAAGGGTCCATGGTGGCAGCCACAGGGACCTGGCTGCTCCCGGAGCCCCCACCTAAGGGCAATTTGTCTGGAAAGCAGTAACCCGCCAACTCTGTGTTTCCATATTTCAGTTGCAGCAGACATGGAGAGCAGCTGAAGGAGATGATTTTGATCTGCAGTCTCGGACTAGGGACAAAGAATACCCCATCACTGAGAACCAGATGTTTGCAAATGGTAGCCATGCTGCAGAGGAGGAATCCTACTGCACGCTCCTCTGACAGCTGCCTCTCAGCCCCCGACCCTGTCAGGAGCCCTCCCTGGGGCAGGGCGGGCATTACTGGAGAGGTCTCTCCCTGCTCTGCAACTTCCTCCTTTCAGAAAATGGCCCCCAGGGGCCAGTTGAGGACTAGCCCTGACGGGACGTGACCAATCGGCTCGTGCTCTGTGCTCCCCCAGCTCCCTTCCCCCTCCCTGCTTTCTCTCCTTTCTTGTATTTTTATTGTTCTCTTAATCAGAAATAAAGGTCACTTGATGGGAAAGCAGGGACGTGCTCTTTTTATGTGGAAAAGCCGGGTGGTGATGGTGTATGATCTGGCAAGAGCTCAGCTTGTCTTCCTGATGCCAGGCACCTCTGGGAACGAAGCTGAGCATCTTTTTACCTGTAATTCAGCACATTTACCTGGAACCCCCAAGAGTATTGAACATGGGAAGCCACAATGCCCTTCTTACTGGTCATTTGCCCAGTGCTTAATTTGTGCCGGGGCTTGTCAGGGCTGACCCCCAGCACCTCTGGGCTGAGCAGTTCAGGCAGTTCAGAGCCTTGGGCCCCGCTGGGCCTGGCCATTCAGGGTCCCGGCCCCTCTGGACTTGCCACATCAGTTATGGAAGTAAAATAATTGCTTGATCCCCAACACCTCTTTCCTTACAAATGAAGCCCTGCACTGGCCAGAGCAGACCTGCCCCTCAAGGTCTGGGATTTCCTAGCTGTCTGTCTAAGGGTGCAGTGAACATTTCTTGTCCCTGCAATTTTGACTGCATAATCCCACGTGATACTGTCCTTTCCGTTGATGTGATTAATTCCTCTGTGACAATCAAACATACTTTAACTCTGTGTCCAGTTAACCTGTCTATGGGCCACCTAGGCTGTGATGGGGCTGTCCACCACTGAGGGCAGTAGTGCCTAGTGGTCAGCCCATCCACCACCTGGCATGGCTCTTTAAGGGTTCGGAAGGGTCCAGTAGAGATACATATTGAGCCGTAAGGGTCCTGGGAATGAATAGTGCTTGAGGAAGGAACCTGGCAGAGAAGCTAGGGCAAGGCTCCCCTCTCACCCAGCCAAGCGGGAAGACGTTGGGAGCTGGGGAGCAGCATGAAGGCTGCCTCGTCCCACCCTCATGGCAGGCAGGCGCTGGCAGGAGAAGGCTGCTCTGCAGAGCCCTAGAAAGGGGAAGGCTACTTGGCAAGGGCGTTCAGCTGGAGGGAGCTGGCAAAAGCCTTGCAGCCAACCTAAGTCATAATGGGAGCCACCAGGGAAAAGGCCAGGGAGGGACCCGCTGCTTTAAGGCGATTTGGGCTGGCTGTCCAAAGCCAAAGAGGCCGGCTCCGTGGCAGGGCTGAGGGAAGCTCCTGCTCGGAGAAGGGAAGGACTGACTAGTTGCAGGCAGGAGCTAGGGGAGTTATTCATCGCAGCCCAGGTGCTGCAAGCTAGGCTGGGAGCCGCAGATAGGGATGGCTGTCACTGCCAGAGAAGTGGTGAGGAACCAAAGATCCCAGGTGGGGGGAGCAGCATCCAGAGGTCTGGGGACAGATGTCAACAAGCTGGGCAGAAGGTGGGAGCGGCCCAGGGAAAATGGTGGCACTCCCAGCCCAACTCTCCTCGGCCCCATGGCTCACACTGCTCCCTGACCCACACTGCTTCCCACACCTCCACCTGACACGCACCACTCCCTGACCCACACTGCCCCATGGCTCACGCTGATTCCTGCCCCTCACTGCTCCCCACACGGCCCCCGGCACACGCCCTCCCTGACCCACACCACCCCGCTACATGCACTGCTCCCTGGCTCACTGCTCCCTACACTGCCTCCTAACCTGCTCTGCTTCCTGACCCACACAGCTCCCCACATCATCCCTGGAACTGTCTGAGCCCCTCCTGACCCTGGCTGTGCTGCCAGCTCACTGCTGTCTTGTGGCAGGGAATTCCACAGGTTAATGCGCCACTGCGTTAAAACAAAACACCCCCAGGTCTTTTCCCCTGTTAGCATTTATAACATCGTTATGGTTGATTAAACACTGAGCCAACTCCTCCTACGGACACCCGGAGAGGCCCAGTGGCTGCGAGCTGGGGGTGCATGGGGGCCAAGGGGAGCACAATTTGAGTCCCGGAGTTATTTTATTTTCTGAAGTCGAGATGCATCCAGCCCCTACATTTGGATCCAGACCCGGATCACATCCCAAAGGGCTCAGTGTATGGCCCTGGCCCAATGCCGGGTCCGGGTCCCTGGCCCCCCTGTGACCGCCAGGGTCTGGGTTCGCTTCCCCAGGGGAATCCCCATGAGTCCGGGTCCCTTCCCCCATCGCTTCCCAGTTTCGTTTCTCCGCGGCGCAGGAGCGGGGGGCGGGGGAAGGAAACCGAAACCCAGCGGCCGAGGCTAGTTTTGATTCTCCGTGCGGTCCCCGGGTGACGCGCGGGCGGCGGCCGGGCTATAAAGGAGGAGCCGGCGGCGGAGCCGGGCAGAGCTGATCGGGCTGGAACTCGGGACGCTGCGGAACCAGGGAGACCCCGGCAGGCTGCGGACATGGTGAGGCTCGGGCCGGGGCCGGGGCCGGGGCCGGGGCCCGCAGGGAGGAGCTCGGGGGTCGCTCTGCACGTTCCTGGCTCCGGGGGAGGGCAGCGCGGCAGCTCGGGACCGGAGCCCCCCGGGGTCTCCTGTCCGCTGGAGCCCCACCCCCTCCGGCCCGGGTGCGTGTTTTGGGGGGACCCCGAGCGCGGTAGCATGCCCCCCGCCCCTGCTGCCGGCTGCATGCCCCGCGCCGAGCCGGTAGCAGGGCAGGGACCGATCGGCACTTCTCAAGGTCCCTGGGCACAGGAAAGGCAGCTGCCGCCTGTATTTACCGCCCCCCTCGCAGCCCCTGGTCTCCGCTAAGCTGCCCCTTTGTTAGTGACCCGACAGCCCTTGGGGAGCCCCCTGACCGGGGCGGGAGCATAGCAGCCTGAGCCCATCTGCCCTGAGCACCCCTTGCCCCTGGGACAGCCTCTGAGCGCTGGCTAGTGCACCCTAGCCAGGACCCGGCTCCGAGGGGGGCAGACCAGCCAGCCCAGTGAGCAGCCTCATCCCTTGACTGCCCTTTTGGGGGTGCTGGGTTTGGGCCCCTGTTAATGCCATGAAAAGGGATCTGGTGAGTGTTCACTGAGCCCAGCAGGCCTGAGCCCTCCTGTGCTGGCACGGATGCTGGTGTGATCATCACCGTGCTGACTGGGATGCATTTCCCTGCATGTTGTACTGGGGTAATGACTGCACCAGGTGCCAGGCACTGGAAGGGTGTATAGGGGTTTGACAGGATATGGAGAAGGTAACAAGCCCCAACCTGCTTCCCTCTCGGGGGTCTGAATCCCTGTGGGATGGACGTCTGGGCTCCCCCTCGGTTCTGACCACTCTGGGCCCTCTCCTCCCCAGGCCCTGTGGCTCAGCGTGAAGCTGCTGACCGGCGAGATGCACAGCTTGGAGGTCACCAGCACTATGACCGTCTGGGCTTTCAAGGCCCAGATTGCCAAGAAGACGGGGGTGTCCCCGTACCAGCAGAAGTTGGCCTACCAGAACGGGGCCTATGTGGAGCTGCGTGATGGCTCCCGGCTCTCCGACTACCAGCTCAAGCCCGGAGACATCGTCCTGTTGATCGTAAAGAACGAGGAGCCCATCACCCTCTTCGTGAAGAATGACAAGGGCAGGACCAGCACCTACACTGTCCTCTCCTCCGACGGGGTCACCCAGTTCAAGGGGCGGGTCCAGCAGCAGGAGAACATCCAGCAGGAGCAGTTTTGGCTCAGCTTTGAGGGGAAACCGCTCGAGGACGGCCACAAGCTGGGAGACTACAACATCGCCCCCCACTGCACCATCTTCCTGCACCTGCGTCTGCGGGGGGGGCTGAGCCCCAGGGTCCAGCCTTCCTGACTTTCCTGCTCCCGTCCTCTTTTCCTAGATAGACCTTAGTGTCCCAAACATCGTATGCTAGCTTTGGACTCTCGGATGTGAAGCTGTGACTGGCTCCAGCACTGGCTGGGGTGGGGGGTGATGCAGAAGACTGGGAGAGGGTCCCAGGGAGAGTGAGCATCACGTTGACGCTGGGTTGCCCACAGCATTCGCACCCCATTGTGCATGTGCTCAACCTGGTGCTGCTCTCTCCAGCTCCTCATCCCTCCATGAATCCTGTTCCAGTGCAGCATGGTCCCACTGTGCCAGGCTACGTGACTGACCTGGGCCGTGCAGAGCGACTCCGTTCCTTCCAGGGGGCACAGTGGGGCTCCTTACAACATGGTGGAAATCTCTCCTGCAGGAGGTTTGCTCAGTTAGCTCCTACATGTGAATGACACCCCCCTCCCCCAGGTCTGTGGTGCCATGTGTCTAGCGAGTTGTTTCCTTGCGACAGGTGTTTGCTCTGGTTCCCTGGCAGTGCTGTGGGTGAGGGTGTGGATTCAGCAGACGCTAACCCTAGCGGAAGAGTGCGCTGGCCACTCCCTTTGTCACCAGTTGAATTCAGGTGTGAAGCTTGGATGCCAACATCACAAGAAGATCCAGGACAACCACCTGCCCTGCCTCTTCAGGGGATGTGCAGCTGCTTCCTGGGATGTCACATTGGGGGTGGGGCTTGAGTGAATAATTTTGCTGTGGGGTGGGGCTAAGGCTGTAATGACCACTGGGGGTAGTGGCCTGTGAAGAAACAAAGGAACCGGCCTGATTAGACTCTGCAATTGGCAGTCAGGATTTCGGTCTTTTTTGTGACAAGATAGTATTTGTGTGTTCTGAACTGTGACTGGAGGACTCAGTCTGTGATTGTATTGCACACTAGGGCACTTTGCTATGTAAATACATGATAATGATGATCTAATAGGATCAATAAACAGGTTTCCTCAAACCTGCCCTGTTCCTGAGTCCTTTCTTTTCTCTGCTGACTCTGATCCATGCTGGTAAACCCTTCCAGGTGATCCACCCCTGTGCACTGAGCCAAGCTGTTACCCCCATGCCCCCAAACACTGGCCTCATCCTGAGAAGAGAGGAGGACACCCCCAGACCAGCCAGCTGTGCTGCCCTTTGGATGAGGGAGAAAGGAATTACAGCTGAGGCGTATAGAAGGTTTCCAGCTCGGGTTGGCCATATTCCTGGAGGTTTCATCACGTGACAGAATCTTTAATTCCTGGAGACTCCAAGACAAGCCTGGAGGGCTGGCAACACTACTGAAGTAGCTCTCACGGGAGCTGGCTCAGAGTTTGAACCCCAGCCCCACGTTCCTAAAGCAAGAGCTAGCGCTCCAGGCCATTGGC